ACCGCAATTTTTATATTCCTGCAAACCTTGTTTTCATTTTACCACATTATGTTACTATAGCTATATGCACCACACAGGTAAAAAAAGAAAGTTAAAAAAGCGATTGAAAAAATAAAAATAAAAAATAAAATAAAGTTACGAAAAAATTGCTTCAAAAGGGATTCGTACCCGGACCCTCAGAATCTGTTAGAACGCCATTGTCCACTGCACCACCTCGGCAAACGCTGACTATTCGATTTTAGTATAATTACATTGACGATTATCGAAAATAGAGCGCCATGATTGGCTAGGAACTTCGCTTCATCCCGCTATAATCACCGCGCGGTGATTATAACATTGAAGGCTGGCAGATTTGTTGATGTTTCGGAGTGGGAAATTGATCAATAATTTTATTTTCTCGAATAGTCATCAATGTAATTCTAGCCGAATTTTTGAAAACATAACTCAAAACGGACCAGAATATTCGCACAGGAACCTGCCAATAGCCAGGTTTCTAGTCACTGCGGTGACAAAAAAACTTAGGGGCCTTGCTGTCCTGGTTGGTCTCATTGTCAAGCTGAGTCCCTGAGCTAACTCGCCATGGGTTGGGAAGGGGCGTCCATGTCAATCCTTTGGGGGGAGGGTGCTGCAAAAGCGTGGTACTGTCCGTTAGTCTTGCTCTGGGAGAGTTGGTGCACTCATCGTGTCTGCCTTTAGTTTGCCATGTCAAATTCTTGAAATTTTTGAGGCTAATTGGCCAATGAAAGCATTTCTCTCAACCATAGCTAGGCTGGGGGGGGGGGGGATTCTTCTGTGCTGTTGTGAGGTATAAGGTCTCACTGGATAATGTTAACTGATATAGTAAAAGTCGAGTGTCAGTTTATGTAAAACTATGGTTGGAAATGTGTGCGTATAGTAGTTGCAGGATTTATCCTTGAATTCTCTGATTAGATCTTAGTTAAGTCTCAATACTTCAAGCAGCTATAGTGTATGGCCAAGTCCAGAGTGTGTGTTTGATGGACTGAATGTTTCTTTTGCTAACCAGGAACCAAGAATAGAGTCACCTTAAGAGAACCATGGGTTAGAGCTGAGTTTCTTGACAATATTTACTTTAGTTGAGTCAGTTTAAGGTGTGTGGCCTCAAGGGGCCCACTGGTGCGGTTTTCATAAATCCGGCTAGAATTGTATTACAACAACTAGTCGCCTCAGGCGATGTGAACATCGGCAAATAGTTTCGTCTCGGTGACTATTCGCCCATATTCTTCGCCCATATTCACGTCGCTTCCGGCAACTATTTGTTAATTAAAAGAGGTTTTTATTTCTTCTCTATGGTGATTGAAAATTTTCAAGGATGACTTTTTCGTTTTCTTTTAAACTTCCGTGTAGAATTAAATCTTTAACTGATCGAAGCTAGACGTAAATCTCACAATAAACCGATTAATACTCTTTCAGGCTTGGTCCATGCCGGGGAACGTTTAAGAAAATTATGAACTATCGATCGTGCGGCTATCGACTGAACCGTATGACCTTACGATTCTCTCCCTGTTCATAAGGGGTCTTTTTACCGGCCGGGGAAACATTACCACAACATTGTTCATTATTATTTCCATTGTTTTATATTACGATAGCAATTTGGCTTTTAGGGCTACAAGAGCTGCTACATGACCTCTCCAAAAATAGAAGCTAACCGTTAACCGTAATCACTGTTCTCAGGGCTTAACCCTGATGAGTATGGATAGTGCTTAACCCTTATAAGTATTTTCAGTGCTTAACCCTAATCAGTATCGTCAGTGCCTTTAAAACTCTAATCACTATAGTCAAAATATCGGACTGCCGGTCATTTAGTGTTTTGTAAATCTTGACCGGTTACCAGCCATATAGCCACAGCTAATAATAAAACTGATTTATTTATAAAACATGCTTGAAAGATATAAAACGGCTGCTTTTTATCCAGTGAGGCTACCAGTATCTCTTTGTCCATATTCTACGCTATTTTGCTGGTTTTGAGCGTGTTCTGTGCTCCGAAAACCACCCCAAATATAAAGAGGTTTCGAACTTTACTTTCATTCTGCCAGGGCATCAACTATAATGAACTCATTGTGAATACCTTCGGTTCTCGGTCGAAAAGTGTCGGCCAACTGCAAAAGTATGCAGCATGTGCAAAGTTGTTTGTTTGCTAATTAGACCTTTTTGTTCCTATACTTTAACGAGATTGCAAATTATTCAAATTGCAGTTGAAAATCAGTGTAAGAGGAAAGCGCGCGGTAATCCACTGTACATTTTAAATCTCTCATTCCGGCATAACCACAATTCCTTGCGGGTCTACTGCGCATCCTTAATCTTTCATTTGCACATAACCACAATTCCTTGCGAGTTTATTGCGCACCCTAAATCTTTCATTGGCGCATAACCACAATTCCTTGCGTTTGGCAAGTAAAAGTGATTGAATGCCCCTATAATGTAATTTTGTGCCGATTAGAGAGCTGCCTCAGTCGTTTGCATCAGGCTCACTCACTGCGGAAGCAATAACTCAGACATAATGTATGCACCTCTAATTATTGGTTGTTTGGTCACGTTTTTTTATCATAACAAAGAGGAATACAGCAGAAATAATAAACAAATAAAAAGATAAGATAAAAACTGAAAGAAAAATGAATAAAATAATAAAGTAATAATAAAAAAATAGTTGAAAAAGAAATAAAAATAAATTAATGCTAATAATTATTCTGTGTAGAAAACAACAACAACAACAACAAAACTACTGACCTAATGTTAGTACAAAGTCCTTATTTCTTTGTCTTATGGAATCATAGGGCGAGAACCTGTTGACTAGGAGCACCTCAGAGATTGGCACGTTGTCTGAACCCAGGTCCACCCACCACCAACTGGGGTTGTCATTCATGGTATGTGCACACTGAGCATCAGGATTAAAGTTTGTGCCAAGATTTCCATCCACTGCCTTCCAGGAATTGGCACCACAGCAGGTACTACTTTGTCTTGTCGGCTTTCCAAAAGCTAGGTTCTCTACACGTTATATATGGAGAAGAAGCTCATATAAATATGTTTTTTTGAATGAAACATGAGCCTTCACCGTAGACTTAATTTAACCTCGGTTAGTAACATCTGTGAAGCAGTGTCAAGATCATTGTTGTAGGCTACCAAAGGATATTGGCATTAGTGGTTTGCTAGGTATAGATTTGGGGAGATCACTTGCGATACACGAACAAATTTCTCTTATATAATCTTTAAGGTTTCAGATACCACAAACAGTAAACAAGGCAGAGTCCAGTATATCAGAAAAGTGAAGGCTCATACAAATTGTTAGTAGATTATAAGCGTTGTGTTTAGCAGATACCTGTGACTAACTCGCTGGGTTTAATGCTGTGGTAGACACCAGTGGGGTGTGTGAGAAATTAGATGAGGAGGGGTATTTTTCTCTCCATACCCCACCAGATGATTTCTTATATATTTTCTAAGCTGAATTAAGTAAGACTTAACAAGGTACAAATATCTTTAATGCGCTGTCATAGGGTAAGTTCTAAGTATGACACGTAGGTCTCATACTTCATAGGGAAGCAGTTCAAATTGTTTTCTTGCTGAAAAAATGATGAAGGGCAGGATTTTTGAGGAAAAAGGAAGAATTTCATTTAACGATGGGCTCTTGGGTTTAATAGCCATACCCACACCCCCCACGGTTAAGCAGATATTTTTACTTCTTAACCTTGAAAAATAAATAAAATTGCATTCACCCCTGAAGACTTCCAAACAATATGGTTACAACTCCTAAAGAATAAGGGTGTACCCCTGATGAGTATGGCTCTACCCCTGAAAAAAATTATGGCTCCACCTCCAAAAAATCGCATGAAAATTAAATCTTCACCCCCCAAAGAATTTCACATATTTTTTTTTTTAACAATACCCCTAAAAAAGTCCTCAGTGTTTGTTACTTGCTCCTAAAGAATTCCATGTATCGTCAACCGGGGGTGGAAGGTATGGATATAACAGTTCCCAATGATTCCACTGTCGTGATAAACAGCACTTTGGAAATAGATTTACGGCTAGACTACCGAACACAGGGCCACTTATCAGCATATTATTAAGTAACAAAAGCATCTATTGATATATGAAACTTCCTTAACAAGGAAGGACCTGAGTAGCCCTGGGCCGAGTCGTTCAAAAGCTGGGTTAAGATCACCCCGGGTTATTTGCATTCAGATTTAAAAGCTTAAAATGAATTTCATTTTAACTTATTTTTGTCTACAAGTTGATAATTGGAACCACTAAAAATAACAGAGAAAATTATCCAAGAAAATTCTTTTGAATGCAAGAAAATGAAACCTCGGTTAAATTTAACCCCGGGTTTAGCGCAAATTGGCACTTCGAACCACTGGGCCCTGTATTCTTTTGTAGTACCAATGAATTCCCCGGCCTCAATCAAACGGCTCAAACACGCCGTCAGCTAGGGCTCTTTTTATCATTCGACTCCAGGCGGCCTCAATTTTGAAGCTCGCGTAGAAGCGAGAGTAACAGGGTGTTCTGAAAGCCGACAAAATCTTAACAACTGAATAATGATAACTTACTTCATGTATTCTCTTTGGTGGCCATTTTAAAATTTGCGGTCAGCGTGAGGTCTGGAAACAAGATCTCTCCCTCAACCCCAGGGTCTTCTCGTTTTCCACTGAGAAGACTGTGGGGACGAGGTTGAAATCTCTTTTCGCCTCGGATTTTCCGAAAGTTTTCGAATTTCTAACCACCCCAGCACCTTCATAATTTCTCGGTTACTGTCCTCTCATTCACCCCAAAATTCAAAATTACAAAATGTTGTTCGTACTTTACGATTGTATTTGATCACGTCATTTCAGCATTTTTGAACGACGTACGTGAACGCAACCGGAAGTGGGACTTTTTCCCTGTCTGGTCTGAAATAGAATCCGGGCCTACTGGAAAAGCCGGGTGGTATAAATCACTAAGAACTCCGAGGGCATCCCTTCCCCCGGGGTAATTATAAGCATAAATCGTTTACCTGGCTTTAGTTTTACTCCATATATTTCTGTTCTCAGACAGAACCTGTTGTGACTTGTTTGGCCAATGAATCTCAGCGTTTTCGCTAAAACACCCTCAGAGAGGATGTCTTTATTCTCTGTATTTCTGTCGTTGTTAGCTGTGAAAATCTAACCACAATACAACGGTTCAGCCATATTAAACCTTCAGATCTATTACATTTCAAAATAGGGAAAATAAGTACGCACCTACATTTACCCAGGGTTTTTATAAGAACAACACAGCTATTCTCCAAAGAGATTGCGTCAACAACCAGGGAAGTTTGAAATTGTCATTTTCACAGAATTATAGTGCTTTTATCACTGTCCTTTCCATTACTCATGTCAATTTCATTAGTCATTGATTAGTGGTGCAATCAACATAATTATTATTGTCATTAGGCTAAAGAATCAACCAGCTCTTCTAATCGACAAGGTAATAGAACGTAACAGAAAAACTCTTTTCGTTTACATCTCGAAAGAGTTCCTCGTTTTGTAAAAGTCAAAGGTTTTCAGTTTTCAGTTTTAAGTGTTTATGACTCAAATTTTCTTTTTGTCCTTAAGTTCTGCAATATGTGTAAAATATGTAACCGAATTTTACTTGCAGTGTGACGTCAAAACGAAGTATCGACTAATTTCTAGAAAGTTCTCGTGCATGACGTTATCTCACCCGAGTCTTCGCTTAACCAACCAATGCAAAAGCCACGCGCGTTTGTATATATTCGTTCTATAGACCAATGAAATGGCTCTATTTCCGTTCGTTTGTTGTTTCTGTTTTTTTCGCGCGTTTTTTATTTCAAGGTCATACGAAAATCACTCTATGTCGTTTGTGATTTTTATCGGTTTTGTTGTTGTTGTTGTTTTTTATACAAGAGTTGGCATAGATAAAGTGGAAGGAATGTAGAAACGTACCTTATTTTGACCATGTTCCTTATAATCTGTCCAGGTTGTTCCATCCGTTGATACCTGGATTGTGTAGGTCTCTATCCACTGATCTGCATTTGGATTTCCTTGTGTTGACACAGCACAGACAATATGGATGGTTTCCAGGTCTATTTGTAAATAAGGTTTTGCATCTCCTGTAGACGCACACCA